ACCCTTAAATAAGCATCCACACTTTCCAATTCTTCAGAGGACTGATCTGGGGTAATTTCAGCAGCTTTTATCCCACACCCCCTCTGCTCATATGAAAGGCACTACAGGAATCTATGTCTGAACCAAGAGTCAGCACACAAAACAAACTCAAGTAGTCTCTAAGTACAAAGGGACCTGGTGCCCAGAAATAACCAGATTTTTAATCTCTTGAAGGAATAAAACCTGGGCCCTGTTACATTGCAGATGCCCAGAAGTGATGGGAGACAGGTGGCAAATGCTCTCACAAATGAGCGCATCTTTCACCTGGTGAAAGGGGTTATTCCTCCGCTTCAGCAAGCAGGAAGGTGGCCAAAGGGCAGCAAGCTTAAAACTTGCCTGCTTGTTCGTTCCTGTAGGACTCCTTTTTTGTTCCAGTGCGGAAATCCAAGGCAGCAGACGAGAAGAGACGCTCCCTTGCACGTCAAGCCAGGGACGACTACAGGAGGCTTTCGCTGCAGGGCATCCACAGAGGGAAGCAGGCAGATATTTCCAAGGGTGCCTCGGCAGGAGATCGGCGACCGCTCCAATACCCGCCTCTCCCCCCCAAGCCTAAACTTGTGCCTCCTGCGATGGCAAACGGGAGAGCGATTAGGTAAGGAAACCCTGTGCGCTGCGGAGGGGAGAAGGGATGAGATTCTTCTGCTCTGGCGTGGGATGGTTGAGGTGGGAAAGCCCAGGATGTGATGAGGCTTATTTGTTCACCCTTGGAAGGTAACAGGTTTATTTAGTAGATCCTAAGCTTTCACAGGTTTATTTAGAGCATCCTAAGCCCAGAGTGGATACATCCTCTTTGCTAGGTGTCCACTAAAACCAGATACTATTGCTGACGGCTGCACCAGTGTAAGCCTCATGTTTAGGGCCGGTCCTAACACCCTGAACCAAAGAGAAGTCCTGCCAAGGGCTCTGAAGCTGTCGTTTGAACTTGATGCCCAAACCACAGTCTCTTCTGACAGGAAAGAGGGAATCCAGAGGACGATCTCCAATTCCACCCAAGAAAGCATTGTCAAGTGGTTCAAAGAGGAGCAGTTTCCCCTCCGAGCCGGCTATGAGAAAAGCACGGACGTGATAGCGCCTTGGTTCCACGGTGAGTCCTGAGCATTTCTGCCCCAACCCAACCCAACCCTTTCAGGAGTTGTCTCTGCTGACGTGGCTGCAGACACAGGCTGGGCCCAGGAGCTTGTCAAAGGTGGCTAAGTTTTCCATTTTAATTATGTATTAGTGTAGTTTAAATTACTTGAGCATTATGGAGGGCAAGCTCAAGTGTTTGAAGAGAGAGCAGCTCTTCAAAATGTCCTGCACCTCTGTGCTACTCCTGCCTCCCTGGACTGCATGCATGGTCACCCTGGCAACAGTTTCGACCGTATGGTGAGAGAGATTTGGGCACATCTCATCCCCTCATCCCACTTACCCTTGGCCCCAGGCCATGCTCCTTCATCGTGCATCACCTTTCTGTCCCATTTCTACTGGGTCATCATGATCCCATCCATCTCCCTTGCTGTGGAAACCTTGCTTCAGTGTTGTGTTTTGGTTGTCAACAGGTATTCTAACTTCAAAGAAAGCAGAGGAGCTGCTGAATAAAACAGTGCCGGGGAGTTTTCTGGTCCGGGTCAGTGAGAAGATCAAAGGCTACGTGCTCTCCTACCGCTCGGTGGAAGGATGTAAGCACTTCCTCATTGATGCCTCCAGCGATTCCTACAGCTTCCTCGGAGTGGACCAGCTGCAGCATTCAACACTGGCTGACCTTGTAGACTACCACAAGGTGAGCATCAAGCAGTGCATTCATTAACTGGTTGTTTAGTTGCCTTGAGACACTTACAAATAAGAAGGAATAGGTTCTGTTGTTTTAAAGTAGGAAACTAAACCCATTTCAGCTACTGAGGGGTATCCTGTGTGCTGCTCCAGAAGGGTATGTCAGCCTGATGGGTACATCTCAGATGTGCTAGACCTGAATCACTCCCCGTGGGCTCCAAGGAGGGCAAGATGCACTCCTTTACTGCAAGATCTGCCCAGGGACAGGACAAATATTTTGCCTAAAGGTTCATTTAAGATCCGTGTTTCTTTTAATTAAGTATGTAGCCCAATATAGACGTGGGCAAACAAAATTGGACATGAGGAAAATATCTATGCTCATCTGCACTATGGAGCTATCACTGGGCTGCTGCTAAATGGCTGTTGGCACCAGAGCCAGGGGACTCAAAGCTTGGCTCTGCAGGGACACTGAGCTGTCACCACTCAGCAGCACGAACAAGTCTAGGCCGTGATGGAGGCAGGGAGATGGCTGCCCACCCAGCGATGCTGCCATGGGTGGGGTGTACCCTGGCCTGTTTGAAAGGTGGTGTTTAATCACATCTTCTATCAACAGGACGAACCCATCACTTCCCTGGGGAAGGAGCTGTTGCTTTACCCGTGTGGCCAAGAGGCCCAAGAACCAGATTACATCTCTCTCTTTGAGTGAATCTCCCGGCTTCGCTGCGTAGCCCCATGCCTGTATCACAAAGACTGAACTTGGAACTAGAGCTGCTGCTGCTTACCCGAAACAGTTGCCATAAGTGCCTCTATTTTAAATCCTTCATTACACAGCGGCGGGAGGAGAAGTACTGCTGTGGGCTTGTCGTCTCCTCTGAGCTAAAGGATGCGTCAGCCTGGCAAGCTGCAAAGCACCTGGATGGAGGACGGAGGTTGGACTGAATGAGATGCTGAAGCAGTCGGCTGAAAAGGGAGATACTGCCACAAATTTTCAGGGGTTTTTGCAGATTTCCTGGGGGACTTCTGCATGCGAGCTGCCTTTGTTCTTGAACGCAGAGCTGTGTGCCATCTGGGAAATAGATTGGTATGAAATCATACCTTCCTGAAGGCACAAAACAACTCAGAGAGGTGAATTGGTTTTGAGAGAGTAATTTGTATAATGTGAAGCTTAATCCTGTGAAACGCTGTGCCCTTGGAATCAAGGATGTTCAAAGCCAAACATCCAAGCAAGCCCTCAGTGCCTTTCAGTGAAAGGTGTTCTCTGCGAAGAGAGATTTTAATGAAAAGTGCATTTTTTAAACTCCTTTAGTTTCTGAGTACAGATCCTCACTCTTTTAACCTGTATTTAAATCCCACACTGGCCTTTCTGCATAGAGAGGGATTAACCTTGGGAAAGGGAGGGAAGGAGGGATACAGGAACTCATTTGAAAGACTTTAACACATGCACAGAGCCTAAGTGATGTACGGAGCAGCGCCTCTGTCAGTATTAGCACAGTTTACAGAAGTGTTTTTGCCAGTAAAGAACACTATTTTCCAAAATGGAGCTATTTATTGCAAGTTGTGTCCCGATTACTGAGATGCATCTGGTATAAACTTGGACGTAGAACTTTGTTCTCTCTTTGTATCTGTTACACTGCTCTTCAAAGACATCACTCAGAATACTGGGGGAGGCTGGACACAGTCTCATCAATCTCATCACCTCATCCCCTCGGTCTGAGTTGCTGCACAGGACAAACGGTGCAGCTGAGGGTTGTGGTGCAGATCTAACATCCCCATTTATTAGAGACACGATCTTCAGATAGCAAACAAGAGTCAGTCTCGTGTAGGTTGTTTACCTCTTCCCTTCCTTCTGCTGGATCGGGCTACTCTGTTTAAGCCAAGGAAGCAGTCAAAACCATGGTAAACAATTTATCACATGTTCTGGGAACAAACAATTCTTTGGAGGACCTGCTTGAGTTACCGCTGAAGCTTTTATGGATAGTGATATATTTGGGTATTGGGGTTTTGTTGAGCTCTTTTTCCATCGGATCCTTTTGTATTTTTCGCAGTGTTTTGGGACATGTGCTGACTTGCAAGGGAAGTGCAAGTCAAGACAATTTGCATCTAACCAAAGACAAACACACGTCAAGGTGTGTCAAGGGAAAAGGTACTTACAGCAGCATGGTTTCTGTCTCACACTCTCCACGCAGTGCTCTCCAAAGAGGTCGTACGCACTCGTCCTACCCCACAGCAGCACCACAAACAGTGTTTTATTCATTGTTCAGTGCTAGCTTGAGTATTTATTTCCCCTGCTTTTAGAAGCCGAAACCCAAATTAGAGTCTGGTGTCAGACTGCCTTGAATTGAGCCGTATTTATTTCCCCCGCTTTTAGAAGCCAAAACCCAAATCAGAGTCTGGTGTCAGACTGCCTTGAATTGAGCTGAAGCTATAAAACCACTCGGAGAAACGGTATTTAGGTAAGCAAATGAGATTTCCAAGCCCATGCATTTTTTGTTGGCTAGTAAATATTAAAATGATGAAGAGTAGTCAGCATTAAAAGAAAATGCTTTATGAGAGCAGTAAACCCAAGCTTTCCACAGTTTTAGGTAATTGAAAAACCTCTGAAGAGAAGGAGACTGATGCACCTATAATTATCATAAGAGAATTTGCAGGGTCCAGTAATCCATCACAAAAATTTATTTTGTTAACTACAAAAAGCTTGCTGTGCCCTGGGCAAGATTCTGGATTTGGTTTAGAAGGAATACTTTGGTATCGAGGCAGAAAACGTTCATCAGTTTTGGTATCTGACATTCAGTTTCGAGTCTGCTGCTAAATCAGGACTTCCTTTTCTTCGGGGTGGTAAAGCTTCCTCCTTCCAGCACCCAGGCTGTGTAGAAAAATCACTGCACTTCTCTGAGCCCGGTTCCCATCCACAGAAAACAGAGCTGCAGAGCATCTCCCACGTGCTGGGAGGCCGCACTGTTTCCTAGTAAGGCTCGAAGTAGGAAACCTGAAGCATGACAAAATAATTCCCAAGCAAAACCAACTTCCTTTAAAAAGAAATCTTGAGATACTGGCAGTATTCTAAAGCAGAAATACACCACCTGGCTCGCGTGATACAGACACGGCTCAGTGCTTTTGGGTCAACAAACGCTACCCATCAGCGGTTTTGGAATGGCACTCTTGATCGGTCAGGCTTTCTCTTTCTGAATTTTAGAAAGCACTTTCTGAGCTGCCTCTTTTCTCTGAATGAACCAGGAATACCCTGTCAGTGCACTGCTGCTGACCCCCCCACCCTGCCCCCTCAAGGGAAAAAGCTTTTTGGTCGCTCCAGCTTAACCGTCGTTAACAAACAGATTTCCTTCTCAGAGCAGCAGCTCTGTACTTATTAAAAAATAGCCCTTTTCAGACACGTCAGGTTCGATGTAGAAAATAACTCACTGTTCTTGTCCCGCTAAAGGGTCAATCCTTTAAATAACTGCACATCTTACAAACATTTCAATGGAAGAGCACATCCATTTGTTACTGCATTCATGTAATGTTCAATGTCTCTGTGACCTCGGATCCCACCAAGTGTTGAAGTCTCCCCAGACACGAGTGCTGGGCAGCCGGGCTAATGGAGTACTTAAAAGGCTTCTGATGAAAAACCAGAAGAGTGGAGGGCGAGCAATTTCCCTCACCATCACCTTCTGCTGCCAATGAACCCTCCATCCTCTTTCAGTCTCGTCCCATCTTTTCTTGTTAGCAGCTCTTTTCCAAACCACCCCATAGTCCAATTCAGAGGCTTTTTGCCTCCCTTTCTTCATGTCTTTTTACTGCTCAGCTTCTGTCTGTGCAGGTGCGTCTCAATCTCTTGCCTGAACACCAGCATCCCGAGCTGGCCATGAGAAGCTTCGTTCATGGCCTTGGACTGCATGCACATCTTGTACTGCTCCGGGGTCAGCTCGTCCAGACACCGCTTTTCGTGCCACAGGTGGAAGAGGCCCCTGACAGGCGTTCGGATCACGATGAGGTTGCTGTGAAGGTATTTGCGGTACAGATGGACATCTTCACCACCCCAGCCTTTGATGTCCAGATCGAAGCCACCTGGCACAAAGAAAATCCAAAATATAACCAGAAACACCAGCAAACCTGATGCTATTAATTGCACTACAGCTGCTCTCTGGCTCTGGACAGCCCTTTAATCTGCCATACTTTCTGCCAACATCCAAGTGTCCAAATTTCTTAGCTTCATCATCAGCCAAAATTGCTTTATTTGTACTGAGCAGAGCTTAGAATCAGGTACCCTCTACAGCACCTGGGAATTGTCTGAAGATGTAACCAGAGCAGCGCTGCAAATGAGAGGCACAGACACGCTGGCCTGGCAAAGAGAAGCTGATCGCTATTTGCTATGTTTCAGTAAAAAGGCAGATGTACTGGAGTGTATTATTCTTACCTATGTTGATAAAATCAGATCTGTATTGGCAAGTCATCCCGAATCCAAAGTCTCTCCAAAATCCAGTTTCTTTTTTAATAATCTGCATGGATGGAAAGAAACATTCATATGGGAACAGAAATGCTCTCAGCGAGAAACCAGTCCCTGAGTGCAGTCAGAAATAGGAAAACCTGCCCTTTTATTCTCCCCCATGGTTGATCCTGAACCAGATTTTGTACATGCTCATTGCGTGTTTCTGCTCCCAAAAACCTGCTGTGTCATTAGCTATCAAGGATAACCCCCCCTGGTCCAGAATGATCAGATTTCCCTCCACTCCTGCTGTTGTAGACTGTGTGGAGCAACATCACATCACTCTCTGGAGGTTGGTTCTTTGCAGGTGAAATATCCCCTGAAACCATCAGTTCATGGGGGAGTCAAATCTGATGTAAGAAACACATTGGGAAGTCAGGGAAGCCAAGAGCAGACGGTGACATCTCTATTGTGGACCCCAAGAGCTCTGGAAGAAAACAGCGGTTCTGATCTGATCGCACAACTGACAGCTTTTTATTACCTGAATTTTGACAAAAATTAAGCTAGGAATGGTTTCCCATTCCAGAACTGCTGTAATCCAGCTAAAATTGGAGTTGAGGAATGTTAGGTGGCAAATATATATCCCATCAAAACCTCTGTCCTAATGAATGCGCTGCCTGTGTTACTGCGATGGGCCATGAGAACTTTCCGTATTACAGGCAGAAAACCAGAGCAGTGCAACAACACAGCTATCGTTTTCAAAAGCAGATGTCCAAGCACGGATCCCTAAAATCATAATTCCCGTGAGTGACCAAACCCAATCTGGTGAGACACCCAAGGGTCTTTAAATCCTCTAGGCAAACCAGCAGTTCTCACTCCCAAAGGTCTGGTTACAAACCTACCCCCTTAGCAGCAAGTTTTGAAAATTTTGGCTTCACTTGCAACAAAGTTACTGAAGATGCTGAGACAGGATTTTCATTTCTCGATTTACTTTCTCAAAAAACCCTCTTCCAAAACAGTCTCTCCCGATTTCTTGTCACGCCTCCCCGTTTTGTTCAGAACCTTTGTCACTTCAGCAGCTTTTTTAACTTCACTGCTCGCATTGCCCTCTCTCTCTTTTCTCATTCCTCTCCTTGAAAAAGCCAAGCGCTGCAGACACCAATTAAAAGGGAACAAGATGGTATCTGTCAGGTCTGTGCTGTAACAAGCAATCTCCGTAACGATGCCCTTACAGCAAGCTACTCGTGTGCATTAGCGTTATTATTTCCATTAGTGCAAGTGGCTGC